CACTATGTTAAGCCAGTTAATAGCTATTTACTGTAGAAGTCAAACTATTTTAAATAATACATATATTATATAACATCCTTAAGGGCTGGGTGTGACCTAGTGGTTCGCATTTTGAGCTGTGGATCTTAGGTTTACGGTTCACATCCCATTACCACACACACACACACAAAAAAGAAATCATATTTTACACTTTGGGACCTTGGATGCATTATAGGAATGACAGTCAAATCCCACTATTTGACTAGAGCAGTTTGAGTTCACAGTGTATGCTGTTGACTAGTCCTCTTTCATCTCATCTATCAGTTCAAAACCAGGGATGGCTAGCACAGACTGCCCATTTTAACTTTGGGTTGATGAAGAATAGTTTAATGTAGTAGAAGTAATACAAGTTGATTATTTAATGTTTGATATTTCAGGTTGATTATTTAATGTTTCATATTTTTTATACCATTATTTGGTAATGTTATGAAATATGCCAGTAGAGGATGATAATATGTCACAGGGATTTCTTTGTTTTACAGCAGACTGTAATAGAATAGAAGTTAGTATATACACCAAAAGATGGAGTTAAAGTAATTTTTGTGACTTAGCTTCAATTAATAATTGCTGATTAACAAATTTTCCATTGCTGCTGAACAGAACAGTACTTATTGTTTGTGTGTTAGCGTACGTTCAAGAGATGTAACATTCAGGAAACAGTATGTTTGTGTTTTCGTGTATGTTCAAGAGATGCAACATTCAGTGAACAGTAATGATAAGTCAAATAAAATCAGAACTTACCTTAACCAATGTATTTCCAACTAGGGATAATCTATATACAATGAATATTTTTATCTTACTTCATATTCATAAATCTATAGGGTTTTTTTTCTTATTTTAGGGATCTCAAGCCACAGAACCTGTTAATAAGTGACCAAGGGGAACTAAAGCTTGCTGATTTTGGTACATTTTTTAAATACTGAATATATGTTGTAATATAGATTTAGGACTAACCTACGTCTCCTTAGCCAAATATCATAAGATATTATTGAATTTATGGCTGGAGATGTCATTAATAGAGATGTACCTAACTGATGAAACAATGCATTATAATCTTTATAAGTAAGAAGAGTATATTTAATTCCTCATCACCAGGAGATAGTTTATTCTGATTGGAAGTAAATATTAATGATTTTAGTTTGTTTGTTGTTTAAAATGGTTTTTGATGGTCTGTATTTTCTTTACTGTCGTCCGTAATGTTGTTGGTCTGTGTTTTCTTTACTGTCATCCGTAATGTTGTTGGTCTGTATTTTCTTTACTGTCCTCTGTCATGTTGTTGGTCTGTGTTTTCTTTACTGTCATCCGTAATGCATAACGCGACATTAAATTCTTGACGACCTAATATTAACATCAATTTTTTATCATTAAAACATTTGTGAAAATAAATTCATTAGGAAACAAGTGCTAAAGCAAACACAGACCAACAACATTACAGACAACAGAGGACAGTAAAGAAAACACAGACCAACAACATTACGGATGGCAGAGGACAGTAAAGAAAACACAGACCAACAACATTACAGACGGCAGAGGACAGTAAAGAAAACACAGACCAACAACATTATGGACGACAGAGGACAGTAAAGAAAACACAGATCAACAACATTACGGACGACAGAGGACAGTAAAGAAAACACAGACGAACAACATTACGGACAACAGAGGACAGTAAAGAAAATACAGACCAACAAAAAACACTTTCATTACCCCCCCCAAAAAAAAAACGTACATCACGTATAATAGTTATACGAACCACCTAAATGTCACGTTAGTGTAGCCTACATAATGTGTAAAGTTTAGTGTACTCAAATCCCTTATAGTGATGGCACACAATAAGAC